AAAAAAACCCCAAAACCGCTTCCTGAGCCATCCCCTCCTCCTTTCCAGGAGCGTTTCAAAGCCCTTCCGGGAGGAGCAGCGGGGTCGGGTCGGCTCTGCAGGGACCGAGCCTTGCCGGGAGAGCCCCGYTTGAAAACCATCAAAGGGAAAAAATGTGCGGATCCTGCAGAGCTCCCATCACAGCCCGGCTGAGGGGAAAGGAGCAAAATCCGCTTCAAGAGGAAGATTCCTTTGAAAGGAGGCACAGAGAGATGAATTCGGCGGCTCCGGAAAGGGGCAGTGACTTTGGGAACAATGGGAATTGCACAGATCTCAGATCACARCAGCAGCCAGGCTGACGGGAACTTCAGCACAGGCAGGAGAAGGGTGGAAAGCGCCAGAATTCGCCGGAATTATTTTCMCTGTCATTTTACTGAGCAGGGGGAGGGGATGAGAGGCAGCAGAGATAATCAAGGATATTCCAGCGAAGCAGAGACACCACGGAGGAACAAAACAAATCTTTTATCYCTGTTTTCCCCCAGTCAGGCAGAACCCTGAGCTGAGCTGACTCTGCACAGGAATTTCCCAGCCCAGATGGGTTTGGAGGTGACAGGAGGATAAAATTGGATTTTAGGGGATGGAACCAGAGGGACACATCAGACACAGCCCTCAGGGGGAGCTGGGAATTTGTAAAGATCAAAACAGAGGGACAGCTTTAGGTGAGCTGGGACTGCTCTGGAGCCGGACTGGGAGAGCTGGGAATGTTCCCCTGGAGAAGGGAAAAGGGTCCAGGGAGAGCTCAGAGCCCCTTTTGGGGCCTGAAGGGGCTCCAGGAGAGCTGCAGAGGGACTGGGGCCAAGGGATGGAGGGACAGGACACAGGGAATGGGGTCACACTGGAAAATGGGGGATTGGGGTGGGATTTTGGGAATTGGGAATTGCTGGGATGGAATTGCACCCCTGGATCCCTTTGAGTGCCCAAGGCCAGGCTGGACATTGGGGACATTGGGGACAGTGGGAGGGGTCCCTGCCATGCACTGACAGCCAAAAGCTCTGCCCTGAACATCGGTGCAATCACTCAGATCCTTCTGAA